AGTGGACGACAACCAACAAGAGTCCAAGACAGAGGTTGTCGTCACAACCAAACACCAGTTCTCAGATGCCGAGGACTCTGACGGCATGGATGAAGAAGTTGACGAAATAGACGAAGATGATGACGAGGACGATGAATATGAGGGTGACTCCACTCCAAAGTTACGTTCAAGAAGCACGAGTCCTCAGCCTTGTGGAGTTACTTCTCTGTCAGTCACAGCCACCGCCGCTGTCCATGGCTATTCCCTCACCTCTCTGCCTGACACCGATGTCCGCCAACAGTCCTCTGGCAGGCGAATGGGCTCAGACCATCGACCTGTCCTTGCAACAGACCAGAGGGAGAAGTCCATGGATGAAGACTCTCTGACTATGCTGTCTCCAGACCAGGCCAGCTTCCTATTTGACCCGTATTCTTCTTGTCTGCTCTCGCCTGGTTGGGAGTCTCCCATCAGGGAGCCCTCCCCGTCACGTCTACGTTATCCATCCCCGAGGCGAGAACTCTCCCCGCGAGGTCGCTCATCTCCCAGATGGGATACCTCCCCGCTAAGGCCTGGTTCGCCCAGCTTCACACCCATTCAGCACCTCTCGCCGGCGTCAATTGAACGACCCATGTCACCTGGAACAGAGCTGGCTGGAAAGCGTGAATCCTCAGTCAGAGGGCGGCAGAGAGTTGTGCTGAGGGCGGTTTCACCACGCAGAGGCTCGCACCAACACAAAGGCAGCGGTGATAAAACCAGACACCAGGCAAAGATGGAGATGGCTCAACAACAAGCAGCCTTTGAAATGGAAATGGTATGTTTAATGATGAGTTCTGCACCCAGTTTAACTATACCTCTGCCAAATATGGGTTTAGTACTGTTTGTCAATTGGCAAGTTATGTAAACAGCAGCTTTTTGGAAAGTTAGACCATGGGCAGATGGACAAGTGATTAGGTTTTGGTACAGATTTCGATTTCTGAACAATTCAAGGTTGGCCAGTTTGGGACATTTTTACAAGTTTCTCTTAAACTTCCACACTTAACTGAAAAACTGTATTTTGGTGCCATTCTCAACATTTCATTTGTTCAATAAAAAATCTAAAGGATACAGTAATACTAATACAAAGTATTTACCATGTAGCTGAAGTCTAGCTTATACCTTTGTGCCATAGACCTCCATTGTTGTCCAAAGCTGTTTCTTCATTACCATAAATACACACTGTAGTTTATTTTGATAAAACCCATGTCCACCTATCTTAGGGAGTTATTCAGTCTATTTTTTTTCATTTGTTAAGAGTTGGGTCTTCTGTAGGAGCAACTGGGCTTGGAGCTGAGTGCCACAGACAGGTTAGGGAAGTAGTGAAGTAAGACGCGGACTAATGCATTGTTGGTTCTAGTCTTTTGCTTGGATTTGTACACAATAACAAAATTATAGTGTACACACCCTTATCATTTAATGGGTTGTGCAGCCATAGCAGGGGATTTGTGTTGTGTTCTCACATTTCGGCATTTTTGCTAACTAAAATATTTTTTCACATGAGAAATTATCCTGGCAATGTTGAAACTGCTCCTAACACTGCCAATATGTCGTTTCAGGATCAAAGGAGCAGCTTGGCTTCCATTCTGCCTGGTGCTGCCAGTTCTCATCACCAGAACATCCTCAGCCACCTCCCTCTCCACTCCCAGCAGCAGGCCCACAGTTTGCTCCCCGTCGTTCCTGTCGGAGGGCTCCAGATGTTACACTCCCCGCCTTCCTCCAGCACTGATGTCACCACATCCTCGGTGCCAAGCCCCCAGAGCAGCGAGGGCCAGCGTTGCAGCAGCAGGGAGGGATCTGTCCATGGACTCGAGACTGGAGGAGAGGACATCAGAGGCCAGAACCAGCTGTCCTCCCATCAGGCTGCTCAAGAGAAAAGCCTCGACCCCGGCGTCAGGGACAGCAGACAGGAGGAGAACGTCCAGACCTGCTTGAAAGCCATCGCCTCGTTGAAGATTACCACAGAGGACCCTCATTGAAACCCCCTTTTTCTGTCTCCTTGATTTGATCCAGGACCAGATGTCCCCTGCTACACCTGCAACCCTGTCGTCCTCAGCCCTTTAGGCACATAACCTCATCTTTATCCCATTAGAGGCAATATAATAACACTTCCTCTGGTCTTGCACATACCCCAGACAGCTTCTTTTGAATCTGAGTGGAGATCAAACCTTCACAGTGAAGAAGAAACCCACGTTGTCTGATGTGCTCCTCTTTCCAGAGACTCTTTGAAATGATTGGACGAGCAGCAGGATGTCTTGCAAGTTGGAGAATCATTATTGGGTGCAGGTGCAATATGGAAAGATATTATGCTAATATGCCTTTGTTTGACATAGTAGTTTGCGTACAATTGCACATAAATTATATTTATGGATTCTGTACAAATGTCCTTAACCTATACTCCTTCTTAGATGCATACAAACAGTGTATTTTACTGTATGTGTACTTTGAAAATAGACTGTTGTTTAATGTAATCATATCAAGGTGTGATGCAGTAGTGCAGTAAATAAAGACTATTTATAAGGGGAAAAGTATGTGTATTATGAAACAGTCTGACCAAATTTTAAGTAGACGCTTCTTGTGCAGTTTGGTGCTTCTAATCAAGCGACAAGGGTCTGTGCCTTTATTTTGCTTTTCATCATTTTGTTATCAGAAGGTTGTTGTTGAATAAGGAAAAATGTCGAGGTACTCTTTATTCAGATGTGTCGGCGCTGTCAGAGAGTTCGCTCAAAGGAAAGATCTTTCTTTTTTTGTGCTGTCAGGTCTGCTGACAGACGGATGCAGTATGATTTATGTGAAACAATCTTAAAAAATGTTTCTTATGTTGCATTTTTCTTAATGTTGTGGTTTTTATCTTGGTAAAAATGCATGGGATTTGCTATTGCACAAAAATAGAGGAAGTTAATATGTAATTATGAATACTGTAAGATGTATTTATATATTAGAACGTGAGCACTTATTGATACTGGTAAATATTTGACTACTATTTATATGGTATATCTGTACTTATGCAGCAGTGATGCAGTTATGCAGTGAGCCACGCTGGCAATGCTTTTGATCTCATGTCTTTGCTTTGATTAAACAGCTTTTTTTTTTCTCTCTTATACAGATGACCATTTTATGAGTTTTGACGATGCACTTTCATCCTTTCATCTTTGATGTTTAACTGACTTGGTCAGTGAATATGGGGGAGTAAAACATGTTATGTTCTCTTGTGGTTTTGAAACATTCCAGTCGTTTTTTCACGTTTCTCATTTTGTGAAACATGTTGCACACAAATTCAAGGGGCTATGATGATCAGTCAATAGTGTGTTTTCTTGCATTTCAAGTGTAACTGGATAATTCAATATCACTTACTGTAAGTAATACTAAAGTAATGATGTTAACAGCGTGAGTTGGTTGACTATTACTGTGCTTCAGCTCAAAATGTAAGTAATCATTCACCAAATGCATTACTTCTTCTCTGTATATATACGTGTATTTTTATGATTTAAACTATTTTTGCAGTGTTGAATTCTGAAAACTTTTTATGCAGAGTGTTTATATCTCTTTAAGAGGTAAAATGTCTGCAGTTGACGTAATGGAGGTTTATTGAGGGCGAAAATAGCACAGTGTTGATCGTTAACACCGTGTGTCTCATCTTTAAAGAAAGTGTATTCACATCTTCAAGTGGTTATGTTACCAGTTTGAGAATGGATTTCAAAGTCAGAAAACACTTTGTTCACTCATGTTTACATAAAGAAATTTTAAAAGGTGCACTGCTTTAATTTTGTTTCCCTTTCTGAAGATGTATGTAGCTTTGATTTCATGGTTATGTAATTTTATTTGTCGTGATAACGGTGCAGAATGCTCATAAAATGTGAAGGGAAAGTGAAGCCTTCGATTTGCTTTTGCATACAGTATGTATTCAGATTGTGTTTTGTTTTTATTGTGTATTCATATTTACTGAACTGCATTGTGCCTCTCATGTCTATGAAATTCCCTGTAAAACACACAGAGGACAAATCATTTTACCTCTCAGCTAAGATTTTTTGAGGAAAAAACCTCAGTAGCCAATCCGTTGTTTAGCTATTTGCATCAAACTGGTTAGTCAGGACGGAGTGCCTCTTTTATGCTATGGGGACTTTATTGTTTGGTGCTCTACTTTTTCAGATTAAATTCAAAATTGTTTTAAAAGAATATACTTCTAACCCAAGGATGTGTGTTGCAGCTTATTTCATGTTTTTAACTTTATTATTCAAAATGGCTTCTATACCTTTCCACCTGCATAATTCACGATTGTTTAAATTAGAGCACATAAGGAAGGGTTTTCAGATGAGATCATTCACATTTTATCTTGAGGGGGTGAGTGTGGAAAAAAAAATCTCTAGGGTGAAAAAAGGGAGAGACTCCTACCAGTGACACCCTCTGGTGAAAAATTATTACTGCAGTCATAACATGGAACAAGAAAAATAAATGCTTCCAAAAATAGTTCTCACCTTGTGGCTAATATTCAACCATTTTCCGGTTGCATCAAATTCAGCAAAACTCCACTGTGCATCCGCAGCACACACAGTGCAGTGCACTGTAAGTAAATACTGCATGTGTTAAGCATGTATTAAGGGAGGAAATGACTGTGATCTTAGAGTGCATTATCTTCTCTAGGTTGGGGAGGAAGTCTGTTCTAATTCTGGCCAATCAGAGAGACAGTTAATTTTTTCCTCTCTTGCTCGGTGACTAGGCCTGTCAGGCCCATTTGTTAGAATAATTATATGGCTGTTAACAGCATCCCAGCTTAAAATAAAATTAGTACTGCATTGGTTTAAAGCAGCAGAGGCATAAAATGGCTGCTGGGGATCTTAACAGCCGTTAAATGATTGAGCGTTTTGATTGTACTCATACACACAGCTACTGTATGTCACACTGTGAGGTAAATTCCTGCTAAGATTACAATCAGAGGAGGACCATGGGTTGTTTTTGTAAGTGGGGTGTCCTGGACAGACAGAGACAGTACCTCTGTCCGCCCTCTCTCTGCTCAGAGTGAGCTGTGCTCCTCTGGTTTATTTTGAGGTGGTCTTATCACAGCTGTTGTATCTGTGGTGGCAGCCTGTCCAAGCCCCTCGACACTCTTCCTTTTCCTTCTCTGGCCCTTGGTCCTGGTAAGACCCTGTTTACTCATTACCCTGCTTCTTCAGGGACATTTACGCTTAAATAACATAACAATAATCTTAAATTCTGTGCTTGAGATGGTTTCCAAGCCTCTTTTTATTCTTAAAAAAGTACTAATAATGGTTTGTTTGAATTTGATGGCTCTCTGAAGCTCGCCAAGTTTGTTAACCTAACTTGTTAAATCAAGACTTAACTGTGTCACTTGTTAACAGAAAGGGAAGAGATTAATTTAGTTAATCAACAGCAGCAATTTAACTTTTAATGTATTTCTCTGATTGTGCACCAGCTTGGATTGTGATGGAATCAAAATTGCTTTTTTCCTAAAGTCATTAATTTTTAGTTTAATTTCCATTTGGATATCTGCCTTCTTTAAAAAATATTGAATATAGATGGGGTCACTTATGTAATACAGATATTTTTCACAGTTGGAAATGCAGATTTTGTACACACCACCACTGACATTGACATCAATAAGAGTGGATTAGAAATAAATAAATAACTTGCCCATATTAAGAAGTTCCTAAAATAGCCTGTGGGGTCTGGAACAGGTGCCATGTGCTCTGCTTGTGAAAGCACAGGCAGTGTGAAGGCTGCACTAATTTTATTCACGTAAACAGGCTCTGGCTGTGAGCTTGTAAAACACAAGAGAGACGCAAACAGGCACTGAGGCACCGTATTACTTCATTTCACTCACTGTGGTACACTAATAAGCTTTGTTAACACTCTAATTGACTGGGGTAAACTCACTTTTAGATAGAGAAGGTGAGAACTTTTAAGAGGAAAGCATAGCAGGCTGTCAAGACCAAGAAAATACTGTATGTCTGTAGCAGCTACAATTATATATGTAAAAAAATATATAATATTTCTCATTGAGCGCCTTTAGTACAGGATAGACAGCTGTTTTTAAGTGCATTGCTCGAAGGCACCATGGTGGCTGACAGAGGTGGTGATTAAAACAAATCAGCAGATTAATTTATATTGAAAATAGATGTTTTTATAGTTGTTTTACTTAATCGACTGGTCTAAGAAATGTCAGAAAACAGTGGAAAATACTTCTTATAAAACAGTGTCCAACGTGAAGTCTTCAAATGCCTTGTTTTGTCTGGCCAATAGTTTACTGCCATATATCACAAAGAACATTAGAGGAACTGGAGCCAGCAAACGTCTCGCATTCATGCTTGAAAAATGACTAAAACAATAAGTCGGTTATCAAAATAGTTGCTAATTAATTTTCTGTCTTTTGATTAATTAATTGACTAATTGCAGCTCTGATCCGCAAAAAGGCAAATATTGGTCGATATATCAGCCCGGCTGATCTATCAGTCTAGCTTTATAGGTTCTCTTTATGGTTGTAGTAGGAAAAGGACAGGTGTGAATAATAAAAATAATGATGGCTGAATTCCATTTAGCTGGTTCAGTTTCAGAGTGCTGGTATTGTGAATGCTGGCTCACTGTCATGGCTTACTGGCTCACTTAAATAGAACAAAGCGATTGTTAATGTTATTACTAACACCTGTGCTTTTCCTACTACAACAGGTCACAATGTTGGCTGTGTTATCGGCCTATTGTAACGCTTTTTTTAAAAATATAGCCTGCAATTAAAACATACAATGTTGATTGCGTTGATTATTGCACTTAGGCATAGTCATATTAAAATTCATATTGATTCACAGTAGAGCTAAGTAACTGTTATTCAGAAGGTCTTCTGCATGTTCCTCTACTTACTGTACTCACAAAATGGAGTGAGCATGTGAAAGCAGGTCAGAGTTTATCATGAGAGCCTAATCCTTTGAATAACAATGCCAGGATGAGATGAATATCACTTTTATTCCTCCGATTCATTACAGAAACCAACTGTTTCTCTCTCAGTACTAGCTCAGAATAATGGAGACTTGTCAGGAGAGCAGCCCTGCACCCACGGGTCCGGAGGCGTCGCCAGGCGAGGGTCGGCACATTGACCTGACAGAGGACCTGGCCCAGCAGCTGGAGGACATCATTAGCACCTACCAGGCTGCCGAGATTCCCGCTGAGCCAGAGGACACAGAGGAGGTCACAGCCGTCAAAGAGGCGGACGCCCGCAAGGACCAGAAACTGGAGAAGAAGATGCTCAAAAATCTAGGTGTTTTGTTTTTTTCAAAATGTTTTATCGATTTTAGCTGAGGTGGGTTTCATTCAGCTCAGTCAGCAAAAGTCCAAGTTGTACAGAAACTGATAGGTGTGTAAGCAGAGCTGTAATGCGTGTAAGTGCATCCATCTGCAACAGACGAGCAGGTAAAATAGTATTTCCACAAGCCTTTTATAGTTGGCTTCAGTTGAGGTGGCAACATGATTTTTCACTGTATGGGGAGATAGACTTCTCAGGTACTCCAAAATAATCTCTCTGATGAATTACTTTAGATTTGCATAGCAGCGTCTGATAAATCTGATTCACCTCGTGCTCTGGGGTAATTAAAATAAATGAAAGTCAAACCTGATTGGACTTGACTGACGTGTGATGTTTAACTTGTGTGAAATTCTCTGTGTCTTCTACAGGAAAGGAAGCCATGCTGCTGATGCAAAGTTTGAACAAACTCAATACTCCAGAACAGAAACTGGAAGCCATCATCAAGAAGCACGCTGAGTTGGTGAGTGGATGCATAAAGAAAAACTGGAAAGAGGACACATACTAGTTGTATGTATCTTTACACTTGTGGTGGATTGTTTGCAGTTGGAGGAGCATCGGAGTGATCAGAAGCAGCTGAAGGTTCTGCAGAAGAAGTTGCTCCAGGTGATGAAGGAGAAGGACCAGCTGCAGAGCGAGCACAGCCGAGCCGTGTTGGCTCGCAGTAAACTGGAGGGGCTCTGCCGAGAGCTGCAGAGGCACAACAAGACCCTAAAGGTACTTCAGCTCCTGTCAAGTCTGCTCTTCATGTAGTAGTGGAAGTATCTAATCTGAGCTACTGAGAGTGCCATTTGTTGTTAAGCTGATTTGGGGTGTCAGGTGTTGTAACCATATGTTGTGCTCTACAGGAGGTGAAATCAGCTGGCACCAAAGATCAACAATTATGTCAAAGCTCAGAATCTGACCTCTGAAACTGCCACACCTACAACTCCTGTTAAAGTGTTGCTCAAACCAACCAGTAGATGTAGTGTAGCTCTCACAGTTTACAAATATATTGAATACTTAATACTTGTAAATGTAAATCAACAATATGTTTACACTGGATATAAGGGTGCAGTCTTGGTTTTGAATATTTCACTCTGAGCCCTATGCATGATACAACTTTTATAAAGTGTTGGAACAAACATAATGAAAATCATAATCATGTTAAACTGCCTTACTATGTGGAAATAAACTAAATAATTTAAAGAGATATAAGGGGACAGTTAAAGGTAAAATTAATTCCTTAAGAAGTTAAAATGTGGTTACCCTCTTGATGGCAATTTATAACAGTAGTTTGAGGTATTGAGTAATAACAGGGGAAATGCAATTTCTCCAGAATATAAACCTAAGTGTGTTTTATACTGACTTCAAAAGGGAACAATAAGAATAACTTATTTATAATTAAATTATATATAATTAAATATTTTGGCAATCATCATTAGCTTCTTAACTGTAAGAATTTCCAGTTTATCTTTCATTTAAAAAGTAAATTGAATATCTTTTGGTTTTGGACTGGAAAATACAGCCTGAAGACATCATCTTGGCTTTTGGAAATTGTGATTTTTCAATAATTGAGAAAATAATCAGCAATTAATCAATAGTAAAATAATTTGTCACAGCTCCAATAACTTAACAATTACAGAAGTCATATAAATTTGTTTCCTGTGTGTACTTTATAGCCAGTAGACTTTTGAAATTGACCAATCAGCTTTGACTTAACTTTAGCTCCCAGCATTGCTGCCTATTGGAGCAGTAGTTAATTAGCTGGGAAGCTGGTGACGTGAAACAACAAAACAGGCTGTTCAGTTGTAGGTGAGAAAGAAACCATGGGTATAACCACAGGTCAATTTCTACTGACAGAACAGATTTTAGTGTTGCACTGACACCTGGGTATTGTATAAAATCAGAGGACAAGCTAAAGATGCTCCTAGCTCCATGTCACTGCGCTAATTGCGAATGTGTCACATACACGGTTGTTTTGAGCTTTCCATCCCTGTAATGCAGGAAGAAACCCTGCAGAGGTGCAGAGAGGACGACCTGAAGAGGAAAGAGATCACCACCCACTTCCAGGGGACACTGAGCGACATTCAGGCCCAAATTGAGGAACACAGCAGCCGCAACACCAAGCTGTGCCAGGAGAACAGCGCTCTGGCAGAGAAACTGAAGGGCCTCATTTCACAATACGACCAGCGAGAGGCGGTATTTATCCTGCCACATACTGAGCACACATGGGTTCAAAACAAAGTCACACAAAGTTTTAAAGCCAATTTTTTAAACCCCAATCTACATGCAAACCTACCTGATGCTACCTGAGCTGTACTTGTGTAAAACCTCACACATCTGGGGCCTCTGTGCCAGTTTCAAACACATGAATTATTCGCACCTTTCACCCAGGTCTTACATTTATTAGTTGCAGTATTTCTGTTTTATGTAGCCAAAGCTCCCTGAGCAAGAAATGAAACAGCTTTCAGCGTGAAAACGACTCATAAATCCCCCCGATTGTCTTCCAGAACCTGGAAAAGGTCTTCAAACACAGAGACCTGAAAGAAAAGCTGCTGGAGACCAAACTCGCCCAGGCAAACATGTTGCTGAAGGAGGCCGAGGAGAAGCACAAGCTGGAAAGAGAGCTTGTACGTTTTGTGTATCAGATTTGTCGATTGCTACAAGCATTTTAATAAAATATTTGCAATTCTAATCCCCCTAATGCTCATTTTCACTGAACATTTTAATATTCCACAGCTGCTAAAACAGACGGCAGAGTGTAAATTGAAAGTCAAGGCCATGAAGGAGCAAGAAAACGATATGAAGATCCAGGTACAGTAACAAGGCATCATAAGCAACATTGGCTTGTTTTTCTACCTCTCTGGAGGTGTTTATAGTGTTTTCCTCACTGTTTCTCCTCAGATCGATATGTACTCCAAGAAGTTTGATGAATTCCAGGGCACAGTATCAAAGAGTAACAGTGTCTACAGCGGCTTCAAACAGGACATGGACAAAGTAAGAGCGGCTTCACAGAGTATTTGAAGTCATTGGTTCTATTATTTAGTTTATCTGCGAATAAAAATACGATAAAAACAGGAAAAGAGAAAAGAAAATCCCATGAGATTTACACTAAGACTTAAATAGTAGATTCCTACGTTCTATTGTGGCAGCTATATTTAGAAGTGGCTTTGATTGTGTACTGGGTAACGTGATTTTTTTTTTACATGCAGATGGCCAAGAAAATGAAAAAGCTGGAGAAAGAGTGCCAGTCATGGAAGACTCGCTTTGATAGCTGCAACAAGAATCTCCTTGAGATGGTGTCAGATGTAAGAAAAACATTTCGTCAGTCATTTATAGCTCAATACAAGGATTGAATGTAATGCCATGAATGTAAAACCTACTGGAAGGCATGTCTATTTCTTCACTTCTACTTTACCAATATGTTCCATGAATCCTTTACAGAAAGCAATCAAAGAAAAGGAGTTTGAGCTTGTCACTGTCAAGAACCAGAAGCTTGAGAATCTGTGCAGGGCTTTGCAAGAGGAGAGGAAGAGTCTTTATGAGAAGGTGCAGGGAGCTGGAAGTCAAGCAGACAGCAATACTGCTGAACCAACAGAGAAGAAGGGCTCTGAGGAGCTGGAGACCCCTGAAGTCCCTGAAGTCCCTAAAGACGATCATCCCACCCAGAATGCTGCAGCCTCGGCCTCTGATGCCCCCGCTGGGACGCCGACGCTTGAAACTCCTCTGACCAAGGAACTGGCTCAGCTGAAGACGGAGCAGGCTCGTCTGAAGGAGATCGCCAGCTCTTTCATTATCTCTCATGTTATACCCACAGAAACAGACGAATGCCAATCACAAGAACTCTCTGAGGGCGTCCAGGAGCCAGAGGTGAACCACATAGAGGAGAGCAACAGCGAACACCTCCAAGAAGTGGTGGAGGACGAATACCAAGAACAGAGAGATTTGGAAATGGAGACAGTTGATTAATGCTGCAACTACTGTGAAAACAAAATCTGGTTCATGTGAGATTCATAGCAATAAAAAGAGAAATGCTGGCTTTGTGTTCAGTGTCTGATCCTGATATGTTGAGATTTAAGAGAAGGTTGGTTTTACTTCCAGCAGGCCACCTACAACTAAGCAGTTTCATGCCTTCCCTAACACGCAGATCAAAAAGTAAAGAACATTTTGACACCTTTCACTCATTTCCTACATACTGACCTACAGAGTTGCAAAGTGGAAGGAACTATTTTCACCGCTCCTATACTGGATGTAAACTTCCCATTTGTTTTCTCCATAGACAACATTGTGATCATCAGTACAAAACTGTGTTAGAAAATGTTTGGTTCTTTGATAAAAAGACATAATGTAATGAGTAAAACTATAAAATAAACTGAACTAAAATCACCAGGCTACTACTACGCTGTTCCCAACTGCAACAACAAAGGACTTGGAAATTTGTGACGGCTCATGGGTGTTGTAGTACTTAGAGCTATTCCCCCATGACAAACTGAAGGACAAAGCATGGTTCATAAGAAGTGGAAATGATAGAAGAATCCTGTGTTTCTATGTTAAATAAAATTGAGAATATCGTCGACATGAGAATACAGAATGTGGGGAAGCCTGATACTACTACTACTATAAAGATTAGATACAGTATATACTGTACTATATCCAGGATTAGTATGGACAGCTTTTGTACTTTTAGTAAAGATAATGGTGTTATGGATCAACCTCCAAAATGATTTGATGCTACATTTCCTATAATACAACCAATAGCTTCAGAAGCATCTTGTTAGACCCCATTTTACTGGTAAAAGCCCCTCTTTCAAACTTCATGGTTTTTAAAATAGGATGTCTGTAATAAATGTGCAGTCCTCAACCTGAGATAACTCAAGTGATGAGTCATTTTCTCAGACCTGACAAACAGGAGACATTATGCAACCACTCTCACAAGCTGAGCAGTATTCCTCATTACGAGCAAACTGAGATTTATGTGTAAAATCAGTGGAATGGCCCTTTAAACTGAGCTTCAACAGCTTATCCTTTGTTTCCCTATTTGCCCGGAGTGGACTTTGAGAGAAAGCAGAGCTTGTTTCACTCCGGTAAACTGATAAGAAGTTGCATATCTTATGAAACGATTACAGATCCACATTGAAACAGAAAATGGCTGATGGAGCAGACCCGACGGCAGTCTCTTTTGTGAAAGCTCTAAAAGCTTTTGTTGAAAATGGAAAAGCTCTGCTGGACCTCGCCGAGAAGGAGAGCAGGGAAGGTAGGCTGCATTTTGTTAGAGACACACATAAAAATAGACATACAGACACTGCAGTTCTGCAGTTGGCAGGCGATTTATGGACGTACTAAGAGTGGGGGCAGCAGGAGGCCTGTCAATCATTAGACATAAAGAATGACACAGACTGTTGCACACTAACTTCGTTTACTTTATATCACATAGGTTCTCTCCAGGAATTCATCAGGCAGAAAATCTGCATCGAGCAAAAGCAGTCACTGCTGGGTCTGATTGAAGCTGGTGCAGCCTTGTATAGAAGGTTATTATGAGCCGTATCCACAGTATTTGGACAACTGTAAAAAGCATTTCAATATGTTGGTGCTACTCTAAAAATTATATTTTTAAAAAGTCTATTTTATTCTAATTTCAGTTTGTCTGTTAAGAGGAAAAAGGATGCAGAGGACCTATGGAGAAAAAACAATCAGTAAGAGCTACAGCTGAAACAAGTTGTCTATTGATCAATTTGATTAACAGAAAATTTTACTATTTTGATAATCAATTAATTGTTTATTGAAGCAGAAAGATCCAAATTTCTATGGAATTTCATAGATCAAATGACTCCTCGATTAATAAAAATAAAAAAAACAATCAGCAGATTAATCAAATTGTTCAGCACCCCAGGTAGAGTAGAGGCCCATACATGTGCTTTTGATGGGAAATAAACAATATATTAAACAAACAATAGATTGATCAATGATGAAAATAATCCTTAGCAGCATATTTTCTTCTTCATGAAAGAAGTGCCTTTGTCTCTGACCATTTACACCCAAAACATCTGAACAAAACTTCTTAAAAATACACAGAATAAGCTTTTATTTTTATGTCTTTAAAATATGGTTTGGTATGTTTTACCCTCTGAATTAAAAGGCCAAAAACTCTGTAGGCTGTAGACAATGTAAGCCACCAAACCCACCGTAACTGACACCCTGATGTAATAAAAACCTGCTGAGAGATTCCTGATTGTGCAGTAAACCTTCCTGTCCATTCATTAATTTCATTCAGAAAATGACTCTGAATGAATGTCCCTATAAACTGAAACAAGAGTAAAAACTTTTATGTCTTCTCCAGCTGTGCAGCTTTACGGGACGCTGTGCAGGACTTTCAGAGACTAGAAGTGAGTTACTGACATAACAGATTTTTTCAAAAACATTCTTATCAGGGCCATTGCGTGAGCATTTTGTTTTTCCTGACTGTGTCTGATGTAACACAGGTGCAGTGGGATGCCTTTCTGCAGCGTCTGGATGATGAGTTACAACTAAGCGCAAAAATACTGGATGGGGACCATCAGTCAAAATGCATTTCACCAGATACATCGCTCATCAATGCCAGAACGGGAGAGTAGGTGCACACGGTACTAGTTATCACATTATCTGTCCGAGGCTTTGTGTTGTGTGGCCTATCTCACCCTTGCACTGTATTTTACTGTGTCTGTGTGTTTTGCAGAACAGTGACATTAGACAAATATCTTCGTAAAGGTAAGAAGATCCTGCTGGTGTTAATCCGTCAGTTCTCCTGTTTACTCTGCCGTCTCCACCTTAAAGATCTGGAAAAGAATCAGGTAAAGACGAGGCACTGGACAATTAATGTTTACAACAGTTTCACCTGTTCAGACAAACATTAACAATAGCCAAATGCAAAGTATCACAACTAAGTTTTTAGGGCAATCAATAATATACTTTATATGACAATCAATCATCATTTAGGGGGGTTGTGAAGTTCAAAACTATTAATCCACAGTTTCACAGCTGCTTCTTTCACAATGTCAGCTTATGGGGAAAAGTCCTTTTGGGCCACTGTGCTGTAATTGCAGGGTTTGGCCACTATGTCAAACTGGCTTCAAAGGCTGCCTCGCTGGGGGGGCTTAGACTAACAGGAACCTGATAACTTTAGCCTGACATTGATATGGGTGGATCACAAGCTGCTATATTTATTAGAAAACTATTTACAGAACAGCCTCAGAGCAATGTTGTGGATCAAAAGAGTAAAATAACTGTTTACAGAACAAGTTGTTTTATTTTAAATAAAATTTGCTATATTTTTTGTTAAAATGGATAGTGACACAGTTTACTCTGAAGACACTCATACTCGAAAAAGTACATTATCTGTTACAAGATACTCGTTTCAGCTGAGTACTCACTCACTACTACCTACTCTCTCTTTTACACATCTTACTGTATTGATTGCAGATGTTCAGTATTTTTCTAAATGGATAACTTATTTTCCCCAGTGGGTTCAAACTATAACAAATCTCATCCAGCATCAAGAAACAAACATATTTTATTGAAAAAAATTCAAGAAGGGAAGAGACTGAACATGTTTTACTATATGGTTGCTTGAATGTACATTGTGTACAATGGCCAGCTCTGCTGTGTTTATGTAGTGATGAAACATGATGTGCACATGCTTGACATGCACCTTAATGCTAGGTTTGTTTGTTTTCGGTTTCTTATTTCTCTTTTTTAATTTATATTGCAGACAGAACAGTGAGTTTAGAGTTTAGCAAAATCAGAGAGCAAAAACTGGAAAAAATCCAGTCACACTCCTCCTCTGGCTGCCAGAAAACGTATCAGCAAGGAAGCAAATAAATCTGACCAAGTTATTAGAACTATGTTATTCTCAAAGGTAACCACAGTCGGGCGAGACCACAATCTCAAAAATCAACTTCAAACCGGCACCAATGCCTCTGGATGTTATAATTCTTCTTTTAAACCTTGCACCCAGACATGACTATTGAAGGTTGGCACCATCTGCGAATCTATCATCCTCTATATAACACCTTATTTTTCAGAGGTCCCTGGACACACACTCAATTGAAGTGGTGGTCGTTTCCTTTGGCTGTCAGGAGGGAGCTTCACACTGGCTGAAGGAGACTGGCTGTCAATATGACATGCTGTTGGACCCTGATAGGAAGGTCAGAGGTCAACAACAGGTGACAATAATATAGAATACAAACTTATTTCCTTTCCTGGTAATCCAGCAGTGAACTCTGTTGGTCGTTGCAGATATACACAGCATTCAGCCTGGGAGCGTCTCTGAAGAAAGTTTTAAACTTCAGTAACATGCTGCTGTATGCTGAATATGTGGTGGACAATATGGAGTTTCCACGAGGGCTTCCATCAATTCAAGACGACATGTTTCAGGTAAAATGATGCTCGCAGCTTCAGGTACAAGCACTGACATTTGAGGTGGCTGCAGCAAATATCTAAAGTCCCGATAATTCAGTGAAACTTCACATTTAACCAACAAATAACAATAATGATGGGCAGCGTATGTTTAAATGTGTGTAACTATATGAAAGTGAAGCCAAAAAGGACATTAGAATTAAGATAATACGTTTTTATGATAAAAACGTCCATACGTATACAGACATTTGCTATTAAAGATTAAATATATTTTCCTCCATTATCCTTTCCAGTTTTTACTTCTACATTCTCTTATTTCTATGTTTTGTTTTGTTTCCTCTGTATTTTTCAGCTGGGAGGCGACTTTGTTTTGGACGAACATGGTAGGGTGCTGTTCTCTCACTGCTGTCAGAGTCCCATAGACAGACCCTCAGTGGAGGACATTTTATCTGCCCAGTGAATATGAAACTCCTTCATGCACCACACAGGTTAATAAAAGGAGAACAGAAAGTGTGTCAGCTGATAAACTCCTTGTACCAGTTTAGAATAACAGTGACTACTAGGCCAAGCTGTAAACTGATAAATATTATAATATACCAGCTTTAAGCAACAAATAAAAAGATCTCAACTTGTTAATAACAAATAA